GGAACTCGAGGCTGAAACCTAGAGGTAGGAACTGAAGCAGAACCATAGAGAAAAACTACTTATTGACTTTCTCCCCTTTACTTGCTCATCATGTTGTCTTATAGAACTTAGGACCACCTTCAAAGGGATGGCACTATCCCAGTAAGCTGGGCCTACCCACATCAATTATCAAGAAAATGTAGACACATCTTATAGAGACATTCTCTCAACTAAATGTCCGTGTTCCCAAATGACTCTAGCCTATGTCAAATTGGCAAAAAACTAACCAAAACAGTCTCTGAGTTCTCTGACCTCACTACCCCCGGGTTCTTGCTTAGATTTACAGTACCAGTCACAATTTCCCTTTTGTTAAGTAAGTGCAATTGGACAGCTGAGTGCCACCATTGCATCCTTTGGGATATCCCGGAAAGCTGGTCATTGTTGTGGTTCACAGGCATCACAGCTGGGTGGGACTGCTGAGTGCCCTCCTTCCTTGGCACCTTGCACTGCTCCTTCTAGCACTAGGACAGCCAGTCCCTGGGGAGGAGGCTTTCTTACAAGTGCTAGCCTACTTGTCAGAAGTACGTACCATCAGAAATAGAGGTTTTCCTTCGTGTAGGACACCTAGAAACCAGACAGGCACTGGAAATCAAAACTGTCTTCCATCCTGCTGGAACACAGCTGATGAACATTCTCTAGCTATCCCAGGGCCTGGGGGAAAGTCTCTTCACCTCTTTGCTCCCCCCACCCCCGCATGCAGAACCCATTTGTATTTGACTCTGCTCACTCTGTCTTGCTGACTTTTGGTCTCCCACATCCAAGGAAATGTTGAATTGCCGCTGACATCTAGCTGTCCTGATCTGCCAAACACGCATAATTTAAGCTGATTGAAAATTTGCCACATTAAAGTGGAAAATATCTGAAACCCCCAAACAATAAAAGAAAATGACAGGTTCAAATACTGCTCGGCATCACCTTCTGTGACCTCACCAGGTAATTAGGGCTGCGTAAGTGGCTGAAGTGGAAACCTGCTTTTGGCTATAGGACTTGCTCCTAAGCATGCTAAGCTCTGAAGGAAAAAGCCTATCCCTGAGCAGCAACAAAGTCTTCCTTCATCAGATGCAAGAGAAAAATCACACATTCCTCGAACTGTTTTGTTTTTCCTCTTCATTGAAATGACTCCTGAATTAATTTCAGTCTTATATTTTTATTAAGAATTAGAAGACCATTTTTGTATATGTACAAAATGCACATACATCATGGCAGATGTAGGGTCCAGGGGCACTTGTTGTTTCTATCCTTCCATCATGCAGATCCTGGGATGGGGCTCGAATTGTCAGGCTTGATGGCAAGCATCCCTACCTACTTACAGTGAGATAGCTCACAGACCATTGAGTTTAGCTAAAGAATATCAGTTTAGAAAATGCTTTCACTAGTGAGATTTACTTATAGTTACAAAAATTTGGGAGTATTTAATTTAAAATACATTGAGTGATTTAGATACATTTAAGAAGACTCTTAGAAACCTGGAGACTTCTAACAAATAACCAGCTAATGCAGTGCTCACTTACTGAGATTAGAGTTGCTTTAGATTTCTGAGAATTATAACCATCAGACTCTTCTAACACATGCCACCCTCACCATGAGTGAGTAAAGCAAACTTACTCTATCTCCATTTAAACAAACTCAGGCCTGAGCCCTGAGTGTGAAGAAATGGCAACTTCCAGAGTCAAAGCAGCATAACTATAGACATGACAGAGCTAAGGATAAACATACCAGAAGTGATGTGGCAAGCCAGAAAATGAAGGCATGAAGGCAGGTGAACCTAAAACAATGCCTGAAAGGGCACATCTAGGAGTGTGTGACATGCCTGTACCCTTGGGTAGGTGGACAAGATCTTTCTGTTGCAGGTTGGGGGCATATTAAACCTCAACAAGCTGGAGAATTGCTTAGGGCTCCCAATTTCTTTATAGTTTTCTTCCAAGCACAGCAGTAACAATTTAAATCTTGTTTCTGAGATATTTTTGATAGTTGGAGTAAGGCTAAAAGGTGCGAGCATTCTCATCCCCATGAAAGCATATCGCTAGTAATCCTGCCTCACTCAGGAAAGGATTCTTAATTTGACTTTTTAATAAGTGCTGTGGACTAGGATCAGTGGAGAAATTAGGTGGTAGATGGGCAATAAATAGATGACCAAGCAAATAAAGACTGAGACACGTAACAAGAACTACTACAGAGAACGTTGGCCACGGTGAGTCACCAGAGGATGACAGAACTCAGGAGAGTGGCTGCAGATGGAATGGCTGGGGTAGACTGCTTTGAGAGAGTGATATTTGAATTGAGACCAAAACGACAAGGAGGAACCCAATTGTGTGATGAATGCTGACAAAGGGACAAGCAAGAACAAAGTCTCCAAGACAGATGACTTTGTCATCAGGCTCAGGGTGGGGTGGGGACATGCAGCATGTGAAACACAGGGGTGCAGGTGTGACTAGTAGGTGGACAGACTAAAACAAAACAAATCCATGACTTCTGTGGATGCTAAGAAAACAGACTGTGGAAGCCTCATGTGATGATTAATCGTCATAGTTAGCTTGATTGGCTTTTGGATTTGCTGAGACATTGGTGAGCCCCACATGGAGGTACACTTCTGATTATCCCCTGTGGGGACTATCTAAGGCAGGAGATCCATTCTGAATGTGGTACCATTCTATGGTCTGGGGACCTGGATAAAGAGAAGGCCACCTAAGTGTCCCCATTTCTCCTCTCTGTGCTGCCCGAATCTCCATGATATGAAAGGCTCTTTCTGATATGCCCTTGCCAACACAGTAAACTGAATGTCCTGACACTGTGAGTATAGTGTATCCTGCTTCAAGTGGTTTATGTTTGTTATATTAGACACAATGATGCCCAAAGTAATGAACACCCCTGAGAGCGGGACCAGTCAGACTCTGGATCAAAAGGGATTAAGACGAATGTTTCTTCTAGTAATTCTCCTGATACTAAATCCTAGGCAACAACCCTACTCACTCTTCCTAGAATTCCCTGTAGAACTGTCCAGCAATTCTTACACACTGGTACCTTGAGCCCAGGGCTTTTGCAACATGCTGTTTCCTGACCTGAATGGTTTTATCTCAGGTCTCCATCTGTAGAACTCTCCTGATTTCCAAACTCACTTGCAACATCCTGCCTCTTGTAAAAGCTTTACACAGAGGTGAACGGTTGTGGTGGTTAGTTTTAGTCAAGTCAACACAAGTTGGATTCATCTGGGAAGAGGAAACCTTAGTTGAGAAAATGCTCCCATAAGATTAGCCTGTATGCAAGTCTCATGGACATTTTATTGATTCGAGTTTGATGTGGGAGGTCCTGGGCTGCACAGGAAGTAGGCTGAGCAAGTCTTGAGGAAGAAGACAGTATGTAGCACTCCTCCATAGCCTCTGCCTCAGTCCCTTCTTCTGAGCTCCTGCCTTGGCTTTCCTTGATGACAGACTGTAATGTCTAAGCCAAATAAGCCCCTTCCTCCCCAAGTCACTTTTGGCCAGATTTTTTTTTTTATCACAGCAACAGAGAAGCAAGCTAATAGAGTGAGCCTGTGCAAGTTTGTGTAGTTCTATTATAACATCTTAATTATATTTCGGTGTTCCTTTATTAGATCGACTGAGTCTATGGAGGACAGAACAGCTCTAGTGTGTCTTTTTATCCTCAGTGACAAACAGAGATGTAGTCAATGAATACTTTATGGGAAGGGAGACGGAAAAGCAGGAAGGAACAGAGAAATATAAAGAGGAGAAGGAATTTAAACTTCAAAATGTACAAGCAAATAATTTCAGGCATGTTTGTGGTAAAATAGGAATTAAATAGAGCATATGATATTTGATAATTAAAGAAAAGTTATCCTTATCTGAAAAATTAGTCTTTTCGCCCTGGTAAGACCAAAAAAGGAAAAGAAACCTCTCCCTCACTCCTTTTCAGAGGTGATGGTGCAGGAGCTGGTTTCTGCCAGTTCTCCATTACACAGATTGCGGAGAAGTTATTTGCTATACCAACTGTCAGAGAGGAGACGAGCGGGTATTGAAGTCAGCTAAAGCCTGACTGCTTACCGAGAGGTTGAGACTGCGCATGGCCTATCTGAGAAGCTGTCTGCAGTGTGAATTACCAGGCAATACAGGAATTGACGGTGCAAATATAAAGCAGGTCAGGGAGTGGATAGCCCCAGACCAGAGTGGCGAGTACCCCACTCTAAGTGAGAGTCTCACGTCTGAGAGGAGGGCACTGACTTCCCCAACAGTCGAGTTTAAGCAGACCCTGTGTGCTGCATTATTATCTATGACAGTGGTCCTCAATCTTAGAATCACTTAAAATTACCCAGGAGCTTTACACAATAACAATAGCAGCAGCCACACCTGAGCTTCACCTCAGACAGTTTAAGGAGAAGGAGAAAGCAGGGCAAAAAGAGCTACAACCTGTAGGGTTCAGAGAGGAAAGGAGCACCATGGAACAATGCTGCAGCCAAGCATGTGTGGAGATAGCTGGATGAGGGCTGTCAAGGAGGGGCCTCCCGCTCGCCACTAGAATAAAGGGAGGGACTCCAGCAGGCCAAATCCTCACCCACCTAAGCTTCCAGTTTATGGAAGAGCAGAAGGTATTTTCTGCGCCCAGAAAGCAGCTGGATAAAAGCTCGACTGCCTATGTGGCTCAAGGAGCCAGGTTCTAGCTCAAGATGGCAGCCAAATGTGTCAGTGTCAGTCATATGGTACCGGCTTCAGAGATGTCCTGGTTCAGATTACGTCAACTTGACACAAGCTAGAGTCATCAATGAAGAGGGAGCCTCCATAACATCCAGCTGGAGGAAGCCTGAGGGGCAGTTTCACTATTAGTGATTGATGGGGGAGGGCCCAACCCACCACGGGTGGGGCCATGCCTTGGTTAGTGTTCCTGAGTTCTATAAGAAAATAGGATGAGCCAGCCAGTAAGCAGCACCCTTCCATGGCCTCTGCATCAGCTCCTGTCTCCAGGTTCCTGCACTGTTCCTCCTAACTTCCTTCAGTGATGGATTTTGATGTGGCCGTGTAAGCTAAATAAATCCTTTCCTCCCCAGATTCCTTTTGGTCATGGTGTCTTATCACAGTAGTGGTAACCCTGATTAAGAACAGGGGCGTATATGACGTGGGATAAAGGGGTCATGGATGCCTCCATCTCAGTTTCAGAGAGCTGTTGAGCCAGGTAGTGTGTGGTGAGAGAGTCCTTGCAAGAGGCTGTGTGAGGCCACTGAGGGAAGCTGTGAAAGCAAAGTGTGGGTTTCAGTGGAAACCACTGATGTTGGAGATAGCATGACTGTGAGACATCTGCCCAGGAGAGCTGTGTACAGGGGGTGAAACCAGCCCAAGAGAGAGAAGCATGATGCAGGCAGCAAACTTGGAGGAGTAGAGCATTCTAAGTCTTTTGGTGCTGGACCTGTAGCTATAGGATTTGCTGTTTGTCCTGCTGTGTTTTTGTCTTGCTTTGGCCCAGCATTTCCTTACTGTGCCCTCATTCCTCTCTTTTGGAACGCTAACAGTCAAAACGTTATCTTGACTCTCAGAAGAGACTTTAAAATTTGGACTTTTAAAAAGTTCTGAGTCTTTTTAATGTTGGACTAAATGCGTTTTGAATTATGATATTACCACAAGCCTACAGGAACCAGGGAGTTCAATGTAGCAGATCAAATAAGAAATGTTCCCCACAGTCCCAGGCATTTGAACACTTGTTCCTTCGTTGATGATGTTGTTTGAGGAGGTTTAAATGCTGGAGGAAGCATGTCACTTAGAGGAAGCTTTCAGATTTAAAAGCCCCATTCATTTCTAGTTTCCTCTCTGCTTCATGTCGGTGGTTTAAGTTGTGAGATCTCAGCTTCCTCTTCCTGCTGCCATGTCCACTCCCTGCTGCTATGCTGGCCCGGTCATTACAGACTCTAATCCTTTGGAAACATAAGCCAAAAAAACTCTGTCTTTGCCCTAGACATTGTATTTTACCACAGCACCGGAAAAAACAAAAAACAAAAAAACAAACAAAACATACAAACAAACACTAACACAGGACTACTGCGAGAGTTTCATTAAATCCCTAGGTGGTTCTCTGGGATAAAGATGACTCAAGTTCTTCAGTTGGACAACATTCTCAAAGTCTCTTTATATACTGGTTCGCTTAGGCTTGCCTATAAAGAAGGGTAAAACCAAGGACAAGATATCAAGGAATCTCTCTCCATTCCATTCAGTTAGTGAGGGTTTAAAGTGAGGTCTTTTGGACTTCAAGCTCACTATGTACTCAGCAAGGTGAGCTAGTTTGGAGAGAGAACTTGCTGGAGCTCTGTTGGGCCTTAGCCATCTGGCCTTCTTGTTTAATATTCCTCCTTTACCACAGCTTTCCCTCCCACACAGCTCTGTTTCCAGGTACCCATTGCTTGTCCCTCTCCTGCTGGGATAGTGGGAAGGTGACTAACCACTCAGTGAGAAGCCAATCTGTGGGAAGTGTCCCTTGGAAAGAACATTGTCAAAGGTGGGAAAAAGGCTGTGAGGGTTTCCTGGACTACTCCTGAAACTGCCTGCAGGCTAGAAATACCAAAATGAAGAGTTACAACAACAAGGAGTAGGAAGTGAAAACGAGGTGACGGGAAAGGGAAAAAAGAAGTGAGAGGAGGAAAGAAGGCCTGACCTAAGGGTCCAGAGACTCGGTGTCCTCTGACTTTACTCCGCCCTCCGCAGAGACCTCTGGGAAGCCACCTGCTCCACTCCACCCTCCACAGAGACCTCTGGGAAGCCACCCTACTTCACTCAACTCTCAACAAAACCCTCTGGAAAGCCACCCTCCTCTACTCCAACCTCCACAGAGACCTCTGGGAAGCCACCCTACTTCACTCAACTCTCAACAAAACCCTCTGGAAAGCCACCCTCCTCTACTCCAACCTCCACAGAGACCTCTGGGAAGCCACCCTGTTCCAATCCACCTCTACAGAAATCTCTAGGAAGCCACCCTGCTCCATATTTTATTTTCCTATTGCTAGATGGCCCCTGCTCTGATTAATTGGTAATTGCTATTTTAAAATCATCCTGAATTTAGTAGATAAAAGCAAACTCAATACTTCTCTTGGACCTTTGAACTGTCTGGACTTCGCCTGCTGTTTCTCTCACAGTGCTCTGTGAAGTTATAGGGGACAGAGCTCAGTTCAGCATCGCCCAGCTCACATGGGCTGCACGTTCCAATGCTTCTACATGGTTTATGAGGGTCCTGCCTGTGCCTGGGAACCTAGGTGAGGCTTCAGACCCAGAATCTTGTCCCAGCTATATTAGGGGATGCATAGTGCTTTTGCCAGTTAAGGCCTCTCTTAATTTAAAGTGAGTGTGTTTGTTTTTGAAAGCATGACTCTGGTAAATGGCATGCTCTGCACTCAGGTGCACAGCTATGTTTTTCCTATTTGCACTTTTCTGACCCTGGCTGCTATCTAGTTGGTGGTCTGTGATTGCTTCTGAACATTGGTCATTCCGTAGAATGGTCAGGAAGAAGAGACCATGTTCTCCAAACATTCTTCCCTACTTAGAACGTGATTGGTGGGGGACTGTAGTTCATAAGTGAGCTCCACAGGCTGAGAACTCATGGTCATTTGAGACTTCCTTCACACTTTTAGACTTTGTTGTTCTTATTTTTATTTTGGTACTTAGTTTAGTAATAATTATACCTTGGTCTTTCAACTGGATTATCCCACAAGATTTGTTCTAGAAGACTGGGTTCTTCTCCCCTTACTTTATGCCATAGTCCAATTACATCTTTTCTTTCTTCACTCCTCTCTCAGTCTCAACTGTGTTTGGCAACCTCTAGTTGAAGACTCATCTGATTTGTCCTAACCAGAGACCACAGTTAATCAGCAGCAGCAGGCCAAGCCAAGCTACATGCTGTAAGCATAAGAAGTGAGATCTGGAATCCTCCTATAGCATACCTAGATTTTTTTATGTGATGCCCTGTTCTCAGAGTTTGAGTTACTAAAAAATGTGTAATATTTGGAAGTGATCTACAAACAAGTAAACTTTTTAAAAGGGATATTTACAGTGATGGTTAAGATTCAGCTTTTCTTGGCCTGCTAATAATTTAGCACCCACTCATTTGTGTTTCATGATGTATAAGGTATGTAACTGTCAGTTCTCTGTCCAGGTAACAAAATAACTGAGATGAGTTGCCTTCAGTGGTGAAAGGGTTTACCTTGGCTCATTGTTTCAAAGATTTCAGTTCCTGGTCACTTGGAACTGTTTGTATGAGACTGTGGCACCATCATTGTCTATCATGGCAGTGCATGATAAAGGAGGTCTGTTTACTTCCTGGAGGCCAGGATAAGGGGAAGGGTGGGTAAAGATCCCAATATCCCTTTAAAGTCTGATCTGCCAATGACTTATCTTTCTCCCACTAGAATCCACCTCCTAAAGGTTCCACTTTCCAACAAGACCACATGCTAACAGCCATGACTTTAACATCTGGGGCTTGGGGGCACAGTAAATTCCAAACCACAGCATCTTCCCAAAATCTTGTTGCATGCTATCTTGTTTCTTCCACTCTCTCCATTCTCATGCATTTTTCTAGTATAACATGTCTCCACTGTCATAGTGAGGTTTGGAATCGGAACACAGTGATGAGCACGTGTTCACCATCATGTCTTTGGAACAGCCTTAATTTAATGATCACAACGAAGTAAGGTAAACATTCATAGTATTCCCACTTTAGAGACAGGGACTAAAGCACTGAAAATCAATAGGTAGCTTGCTCAAGGCCATGAAGGTATACACTGGAAGAACCAGGATTTAAACCCAGGTTTGCAAAGATCATTGCAGGCTTTTGCCTCGGTTGAGCTTCTTACAGCTAACACCTTAGTCATCACTGTGACCTGTATCCAACTCACTCCTCACCCACTTCATAAGTGTACAAGTAAGATTTAGAAAACAAGTGTGTGGAGATTGTAAGTCCAGAACTCTTCTGAAGAGCTCTGGGGGACACAGTAGAAGCAAAGTTAACTTAAATGCTGACCTGTTTGGTCTTGTGTTCTTAAGGCTCCATTTTTTCCCTGTGGTATTTGTTTTTTTCTAGACTTTCTGCTTTTATCAAAGTAAATTTTCCCAAGTCATAATTTCTAAAACGTTTAGTTTTCAAACTTATTTGACAGAGAACAATTTCGATTCAGAGGTTCTTAAATTTATTCTGATTTGTTCATTATTTATTCTGTCACTTCTAAATTTTGTATTTATACTTCCCTTTTGTCAAACGTTGAGTTAACTGGTATTTTGAATACCTTCTTGATTTTTTTCAAAGAGCTGTATTCTGACCTTTATTATCTCTGGGTTTTTCATTTTTTTCTGTTTCACTAGAACTTTGAAATGTATTGAGGATTTCTTGGCAGCATGAAGTAAAGCCCGCTTGATGGTGAGTGTTGATGGGACTTTGGACCCACCTGTTGAGTATTATATAGATAATATAATATAGATAATATAGAAGACCCATACAACTGTGACATCATTCCCCTTGAACAGTTGGAGAAAGTGTACTGAGCAACAGCATGCATTCTTTACTCTCTGTTTCTTGACTGTGGATATGATATTCAGCTGCTTCAAGTTCCTGCTGCCTTGACCCACCCCCCATAGAGGAATGTGCTATAAACTATGAATAAGACTAAACATCTCTCCCTTGAGTCTCTTCTTGTCAGAGTATCCAGAGCAACAAGAAAGGAAACTGACAGTCAGCTTTCCTGACTGTTCTCCATGCCCATTAGGTTTGCAGAATAAAGGCTTGACTCCTTCTTCCCTTCTCCTCCTTCTTCTCTTAAAGCTGATTCTGATTGTTAAGCTACTGTGGTAGTTTGAATAAGAATGCTCCCCCCCATAGGCTCATATGTTTAAATGCTTGGTTCCAAGTTAGTGAAACTATTTGGGAATGATTAGGAGGTATGGCCTTGTGGAGAAGGTGTGTCACTGAGGGTGGGCTTTGAGACCCATGCTGTTCCTCTCTCTCTCTCTCTCTCTCTCTCTCTCTCTCTCTCTCTCTCTCTCTCTCTCTCTCTCTCTTCTCTCTCTCTCTCTCTCTCTCTCTGCCTTGTGCTGCCAGCCAGCTACTGCTCCTGTACCAAGCCTGCTGCCGGCTGCTATGTTTCCCACCATGATGCTCAGGCACTCACCTTCTGAAACTCTAAACAGGTTGCCAATGAAATGCTCTCCTTTATAAGTTACCTTGGCCATGGTGTCTCTTCACAACAATAAAACAGTAACTAAGACAACTAGCATTTTCTTTTCATTTGTAGATGTGTCTTTCTGAAAATTTATGATTTATAGTAGAGTTGGCCAAGTATAGCCAAGAGGCTAAATCTAGCCTCTCATCTGTTTTTGTTCTTTTGTTTTGTTTTTCCAAATAAAATCTTATTGGAACATTGCCACACTTATTTCTTTACTTGTTTTCTATGGCTATTTTTGCCCCACATTAGCAGAATTGAACAGTTGCTGCAGAGAGCAGATGGTACATATAGCCAAAATTGTCTATCATCTGCTTGGAATATTTACTATCTTTTTCTTGGCTTGTAAAACCTAAAACATTTACTATCTTTACGAAAAGCAGTTTTTCACCAATCCCCTCCCCATTCTTAGATGGGTTAGTTTTCTTCTGGTCTTGCTGCCTCACACTGGATTTGAGTGCACAGATTTTCTGTCACTCACTGAACATGTGAGATGGCTGTCCCTCTCCAATAGGGTAATTAGTGGCCACAGACATATTAGGTGTGATGCAGCAGCCACTAACCACATGAGAGATATGGGAACTTGAAATGTGACTAGTGCAACTGAAAAAGTCAAACTTTATTGTCAAGTGAGGATAATGTCTACTGTAGTTTAAGAAGAGAGAGGTCAGGAGAATTTGTCTAGCTTCCTAGCTCCAGAACACCCTCTTCCTTTGTTCTGGGGAGATGGGGAATCAGGAAGGGGGTGTTTCATATATTCTTAGGACCAGCTTTCCCCTTTCTCCTCATTTCGTTCAACCGGTACCCCTGTTACATCAGTTTACATCTGCTCTCAGATGTGTATTCTGAGTTGAGGATTTTAGAGGTGATATTAGAGGTGAGTGTGAATGCCTTCTAGGCCCTCCACTGTTATGAGAAGTTCTTGTCCGCATGGTCACATAGTCCTTCAGCTAGAAATGAACACACAAAATGCTATATTAGTTATAAAACTATTGACCGGTGGCTTTGGCTTCTTATTGACTACTTCTGTCTTAATTGTTAACCCATTTCTACTAATCTATATATTTTCATGTGGTCTTGGTTTACTAGAGAACATCTGGCATGTTCTCTCTTCCTGGACTCTATATGATAACTCCATCTGCCTATGTTTCCCAAGATTTCCTCATCTCCTGGCTCTGCCTGTACTTCCTGCCTGGCCAATCAACCAATCAGTGTTTTATTCATTAACCAACAAAAGAAGCATATTTACAGAAGGACAACTCCCATCACTCCTCCCTCTGGACCAGTCTGAACTTCACAGGACTTTCTTCTACCCACCTGAAAACCTTAGTCTGTAAAGCAAACTTTTAGGTCCAACCACTGTCTAAGCAGCTGGGTGGGCATCCCAGAGAGTAGTTAATTGCAGCTGAGGACGTCTTGGGGCTCTCAGTCTCTGTAAACTTCCTGACTCTGTTTCTTTCACAGTTTTAAACACAATTGAGATTTGTGATGATATATTCTGCTTGAATTTTGTGATCCAATGATAAATTATATATAATTTCTAGGGGATTTTTAGGTTTCTCCTGTTAGTTATCTGTTGTATCTCTTTTATCAGGATTTAACAAGAATGTAGTACTATACCACCTTCTCCAAATTTCCTTTTAGGAGTCTCATGTGTGATGCATTCAGTTCACCTCAACATAAGGCTATCACTGGACCAGCACCACCACCTTAGTTTTCAAGGTGAGTAATTATTTGAGGGAATTGTCTAAACTCATAGAGCAAGATAAGGAAAACCAAGCATTTAAAACTCATTTTACCAGACTTTCTATGCAGTGTTTTTCTTTTATGCACTACGAATAGAGAAACATTTTTGTAGTGAGAATGATCTACCAGCCTATCTGTTAGCATGGTCCAGCAACTGATTTTCCAGTTTGGTAATTCCCTATAACCCTATTATTTCCCTGGATTTATATTAAATGCTGGTGAAAAATAATTTTGTGCAAGTATTGAACTCACATTTTATTTTTTATTTGTGTGTGTGTGTGTGTGTGTGTGTGTGTGTGTGTGTGTGTGTGTGTGTGTGTTTCTGCCACAGCATTGTTTGGAAATTCTAGGACAAATTGAAAGACTCAGTTCTCTCCTACCATGTTGTTTTCAGGTTCTGAACTCAGGTCATCAAACAGAGGCAAGCATCTTTGCCCCTGAGCTGACTCATGGGATTCTATCCTCAAAGTTTTAAAGTAGCAATATATCGGAGAGGAGGCCAAAAGATCAAGATGTGGGGCTAGGTCTACACTCAAATTATTCAAATTATGGGTAAATAGAAAGACTCAAGAATTTAGGGGAAGAGTCTGACCTTACCCTATTACTGACTATAATAAATTCTGACATAATAGCAGGTTCTCTCATTCTTCTAATAGTTGGTATTACAAATGGAGCATTGAAAAATTTAAAACTGTGTGTGCATGCTTGTGTGTGTATGTATGTATGTCTGTATTTGTGTGTGTATGTATGTGTGTATATGTCACACGTGTACAGGTGCTTACAAGGTCAGAAGAAAGCATTAAATCCTCTGGCGTTGAATTTAGGCATGATTAAGGGCTGGGAACTAAACTCAGGTCCGCTGGAACACACACACACACTTTAGGCCAGAAGATAGGATAGCCAATGTTATAGTGCCTGGGATAGTGCTTGGCTCCTGCCTGCTGCCTGATGTTGATCAACATTCTCTTTTTAATCACTTCCAACTCCTCCAGTGTTTGTGCAGATCATCTCTGTTCCAAAAAATAAAAATAAAAAACCAACAACCACAAAACTAAAAAAGCAGAAAACAAAACAAAACTAGACAACAAGCTGGAGTTTGTTCATCTTATCACACACCTGCTGGGAAGTTGACATTGGCAAAATGGATATGACAAGAAATCAGGGAGTGAGAACCTTTTCCCAAAGTTTTCACTTCGACAATTTTTTATCAGGGGTTCCAGCTGGATCTTTCCTAACTCTGTCTGTGTGAGAGAAAGTCCAAGTGGATCCAAGGGAGTCATTTGTATAACACCCCCCACACTATTCTTGGGGCTCTTCAGAGGTCCTGGGTACCAGAATTAGGATCACCAGGTGGTCACTGTAGTCAAGAACCTGACTAGTATATCTATCAGAAAAGCAAATACAAAGCAGAAGAAAAGCATGTCTGTACAAAAGAGGATTCAGATTAATGCAAGTGTGGGAAACCCTGTCCATGTCAAATTCTTTTTCCTGAAAAACAGTCTCAATTATTCCTACAGTGTACACACTAAATTTATATTCATCTCTATACAGGTAGATGTTCCAATTGAAATTATGCATCCTGCTTGAAGAGTCACACATCACTATAACAACCAGCCCCTTTATTGTTTTTTCTTCGTGAATGTTTTAATTAACAACAGTGTGAAATAAAACTACTCATGACATCATCAGACATCCTAATTTTAGTTGTTTGAGACATCTTGGTAGCATGAAGTACTACTGGGGACTCTGGCTAACCAGTGACTCTAGATTAGGGCAGGGGATTGAAGGGCCCACATGATGCAATACCCTTCAAGGCGACCAAACTCTAAGTAGATGCTCTTCTCCAGAAAAATCATGCACAGAAAAGGTATCAGGTTCTATAGACACACCATCTTTATTGAGCTGTGATAGACTCAGAAAAAGTACATTGACTCATACCCTCAGATGTGAAGAATCCCTGGAAGTCAGATAACACACACACACACACACACACACACACACACACACACACACACACACACACACACACACGCCAAGCTTGGTAATAGGAGGAATCTAACATTTACTTGATCTTTAGGCCCTGCCATGTGTAGGGTTGTTATTGCTATGATGAAACACCGTGACCAAAAGCAACTTGGGGAGGAAAGGGTTTCTTTGGGTTACATTTCTATACTACTGTTCAACATTAAAGGAAGCCAGGAGAGGAACTCAGACAGGGTAGGGACCTGGAGGCAGGAGCTGATGCAGAGGCTATGGAAGGGTGATGCTTGTTCCTCATAACATTCTCAGATTACTTTCTTAAAGAGTCCAAGACCACCAGCCTCAGGATGGCCCCACTCACAATGGGTTTCCCCAACCACCATCAACCACTTAATTGAGAAAATGCCCTTGCAGGCTTCCTATAGCCCAATCTTGTGGAGGCATTTTCTCTGTTAAAGATTTCTCCTTTCAGATAACCCTATCTTGTATTAATTTGACATAAAACAAGGAATTACAGACCCTTTGGAAAATTAAAGGGAGAGCCAGTGACTTAGTCTATTTTATGTTGCTGTAACAGAAACTCAGATTGTACAATAAAAAGAAAAAATGGGAGGTTGGAGAGTTGACTCAGAGATTAAGAACATTTGTTGCTCTTGCAGAGGACCCAAATTTGGTTCCCAGAACCCACATGGTGACTCACAAATACCCATCATTCCACTTCACAAAAATTCATGTATGAGCTGGAAATTAATGTTTTCCTATTTCCACAGTACCCGATTCCTTTGCTCCTGCTCTTATCCCCCTCCATTATTTTTACAGACAAAATATGTTGCCTGGGCATTAAGTAATTTTCCTGTAATAAACTTGATAAAGATCAGGCTGAGAATGGCAATAAAACCACACTTATTCTTTCTCTATTCTTGAGCTTATGAATTTTCTTCAACTGAGAAGATATGTATGGTACCCTGGAGAAGGGGAATGGGCTGAGCAGATTGGGAGCATAGGGAGAGAGGAAAGGGAGCTGGGAGAAAGAGAGGGGGAGAAGAAGAGGGGAGAGGAGGCCATGGGGGATCAGGAAGGTTGAGTCAGGAGAAGAACAGACGAGAGCAGGATGAGAGATACCATAATAGAGGGAGCCATTGTAGGTTTGAGGAGAGATCTGGCACTAGTGAGATATCCAGAAATCTACAAGAATAACACCAACTGGCAATCTAAGCAATAGTGAAGAAGCTACCTTAAGTCCCCCCCCCAATAATGAGATTAATGACTACCTTATATGCCATCCTAGAGCCTTCATCCAGCGGCTGATGGGAGCAGAGGCAGGCACCCACAGCTAAATACTGAACTGAACTCCTGGAACCCAGTTGCAGAGAGGGAGGGATGATGAGCAAAGGTGTCAAGACCAGGCTGGTAAAACTCACAGAAACAACTGACCTGAATAAGGGTGAGCTCATGGAACTCAGACTGATGGCTGAGAGGCCAGCATTGGACTGATCCAGACCCCCTGAACATGGGTGTCAGTGAGGAGGCCTCAGCAATCTATGGGGACTTGGGTTGTAGATCAGTGTTTATCCCTGGCATACAGATGGACTTTAGGAGCCCATTTCACATGAAGGGATACTCTCTGAGCCTGAACACATGGGGGAGGGCCTAGGCCCTGCCCTGGATAATATGACAGACTTTAGAGATCCTCCATGGAGGGTCTCACCCTCCTTGGGGAGCAGAGAAGGGATGGTGTGGGAGGCTGGAGGGTTGGTGGGGGCCAGGGAGGAGCGGAGGGAGAAGAAGCTGAGATTGACATGTGAAGCAAGCTTGTTTCTAATTTAAATAAAAATAATTACAAAAAAGAAAAATGAGTTTGGATATCATTTCTGATATTATTTTGATCATGAGAAAGCTGATCAAATTTTCTTACCTTAATTTTTCTATGTTTTAATTGAGGATTACAAAAAACATACTTCATGGAGGATAGTGGAGAAGATAACGTGATCATGTTTACAGAATGACATTATCACATGAGAAGGGCATAGGAAGTGACAAATTGCTGCCATAGTAAGTGTGCCAAGTGCTTCACATGCATGAGGGACTGTGATACAAAAACCAATCTTGCTGTTGAAGTCATTAATAGCAAAGATGCTTGCCTCTTTTATAAATGAGCACCAGGCAATATCTTAGGCAATGAGCAGTCCTTTCTCTCAAGCCCATTGAGTCATTGAAAGATATGAAAGTATACATGCTGTGATTCACATAACTACAGGCTTAGTGACAGGGTGGAAGAACCAATCCAGGCTGGAGAGATCTTGTTGGGAGTCTCCCTGGTAGGCACAATACATAACCCGGATGAAAGGGAATTGCTTTTGAGGAAGACAGTAGGAAGACAAGCTCTCTGGAAGGTCCGGGAAACACACATGAACATGGAACATTGAAGATGTGCTGGCTTTTTGTGGTTTCAACTTGCTGTGACCCAACACCGGACCTGAGTAATATAAGAGAGGGAAGATTTCTATGGGCTCAGATTTCAAAGGGTCTGAGTCCCTCATTGTAGCACAGTCTCAGTGGGAGCAAGAGGCTGCTGGTCCCATCTTGGTGGTCACCTGGGAGGCAGATGCAAGGACATATTCCTCAAGGGATCACACCTAGTGACCAACCTCATCAGCCAGGTCCCACTTCCTAAGGTTTCATGATTTCTTCAAAACAAAGCCTCCAGCTAGGGACCAGATGCCCAAATTCATGTCGGTGCAGAATGTTTCACATTCAGAACACAGTAGTGAACAGCATAGAAACTGTATGCAGCAAATGAAAGAGCCAAGACTGGCAACAAAAAAGGTCAGATTTTAAAGATCACACACCTTTTAAGAAGCTCAAGCTTTACTTTATACACAACACAGAAGCAATACTCAGGGGCATAGAGTTATCGGATTGGCTTGGGAAAGGCCACTCTTGATTCAGAGGGTGAGTTAGTGTGGGACCAGGAGGCACTGCTGAGGCCCAGGCAAAGCATAGCAACGTGGGTAGCTAGTCACAAGGGGAGAAGTGGAGCAACTCAGGAGAAGCCTGAACTAGTTGGCAACCAACTGGAATTACAGGACTAAGACTGTCTGGTTGAATGTAATGAGGCAGGACACATGCTTTGCTTCACCTGGAACAGTGGTTCTCAACCTTCCTTTAGTGCAGTTCCACCCGAAGTGGTGACCCCCAGCCATAAAATTATTTTTGTTGCTATTTTGTAACTGTAATTTTGCTACTGTTATGAATCATAATGTAAACATCTGATATGCAACTCCCAAAGGGGCTGAGATCCTCCATAGAAAGAGAAGCTGGGCAGAATTGGAAGTAGGAAACATGGTATGAAGCCCAGACATTCCTGGATATGCATCTGGAAGCAGACTTCAGTGCCTGAAGGTCTATTTTCTATAGATAATATGTCTAAAAGAGGACCACAGTAGACCAAAGCTGAGCTCAGTGCTTACAGCATGGATGGCCTGCTTAAGACTACATTTGGTATATTTTTCCATTTTTGATGGGTTTCAATCTTAAAATTGTATTTAAGAGTTTTAAATGTGTTTTCTCTGTGTTTGAGTAATTTTCCACATTTATGCCTATTAATAACTATTCCTAGACTTCGTATTTGTTATTAGCCATATAACTTCTGGGTCTGTGTCAGTTGCTTCTTATCTTATTATGGGTCTTATTATTATGTTACTTCACATTCCAGAAACTTAAAATTGTGTATAAGGTTTTGTGCTTTGATCTCACATTCCTTTAAATATTCTGTCCTTTTAAAGTAATTTAAAATTAAATTGCTTACATATTGGGAATCTTACTTTTCATTGTTTATTTCTTTCTTTATTTTTTAATTTTGTGTTTTTGGCAATCCATACATGTATACAATGTACACAATTACTTTATCTTCCCCATTCTCTTTATGTTCCTCCCACATCTATCACTAGCCACTCCCATCAATAGCTTCCCTTTCCTAGACTAATGGCTTTGGTTTGCTTTTGTTACCTGTGTGGTTTGATTTGGGCTGTCTGCATGAGCATTTGAATCAAAAGTATCCACTGAAGCCTGGTATGATCACCTGTGGTTACACAACTGAAGGCAGTACTGGGTTTTTTAAAATTTTGTTATAATTCAGAATTCTCTTTACTCTGGCATATTTGTCTAACCATTTCCCATTTGTAACACAACATGGTCATCTACAAAGCTCACACTCAAGGAACTATGCCGATGAGGGATGTCCTTCTGTATATATGTTTCTCTTATTGGTTGTGAATAAAACACTGTTGGCCAGTTGGGCAGGGAGATAGGTGGGACTAGGAGACGAGGAGAATTCTGAGAAAGGTAGGTAGAGAAATCCTGTCATAGACAGTTGCCATGTAGACAGCCACAGGAGTAACAGGTCTGGACCTTTCTCCCATAAGATAAGACCACGTGGAAATACTTAGATTAATAGAAATGGGTTAACAATTAAGACAGAGCTAGCCAATAAGAAGCCCTAGCCACCAGTCAACAGTTTAATAATTAATATAAGTGTTTGAATGTTCATTTGGGGCTGAAGCAGCGGTGGGACCTAGGCAGGACAAGAAACTATTAGCGGCACTCTGCTATCAAATAAAAAAGAATTATGTAATATGTTAAATAATTATGCAATTTTGTGTTGGGCACTTTCAAAGCTGACTTGGGACACATAGGCTCCCTTTCA